AGTTTAATAAGGTAGAAAAACACCAAAGAGATAATGATAAACCATAAAGGAACAAGGATGGCTAAGGATGGAGAAGATTAACACGGATTATAAACGACCAATTTGAAAAATTGAGGCTACACTTTTCAATATGCGCAAACCGTGACTTAGCTCCTTTAAAGAAAAGTGTTTGCTTCGCTTTTTTGGTTTTGCATTTTCTACAAACTCTGTACACATGCAGAGTGTGTTATACGTGTTATACGTACGTTTACAATCACCCGACCACTAGAAAACCCAATTTTGCCACACTTTGCATGGGTTGCATATTTTTGCTTGCAGTTCTTGTTCGTCAATAGGGTTGGTTTTGTTTGTTTAAGAATGGGTTTCCATTTCACAGCATCCGTTTTACAGTCATTAAGATTGTTACAATTGGCTATAGCCACAATCACCTTAAGTCGTTTGGTATTTTCGTTGATAAAACAAGGTGGCTTACAAATGCTTCTCGTCCAAAAGTCGATGGTTATCTTTTTGTATCTGCTGGTCACGTCTGTCTTTACACATTTCCACTCCCAGTCTGGTTTAATCAAAAATCTCTGATTATCCAGCAGATCGTTTCCTTGCATCCTACTGGTGTAAATAATTTTTTGTGTCATATTTTCCAGAAATGTCACTTCTCTAACAAAGCCAGCGCTTTATGTAAATTTTCAATAGCTGTCTTAACATCCTCGTATTGTAAAGCACTGGCGGCAAAGCGGCAATACTTTTGCGCTTTCTCGCTGTCCTCTGGAGATAATGTACTGCTGGGTTGAGTGGGAGCAACGGCAGCTGCAGGTACGGCAGCCGGTACTGCGGGGTGGGAGGCGGCGGCTGGAGCAGGAGGCTAAAACATCATCAAATCAGAAGTTTAATTAGCTTTGATCATAGTTAGTAGACCTAAATATGCTTTTATAAACCACCACCTACAGCTTCCTCATGTACCTGAATATTCATCCAGTGGACACTCACGAGTCGCCCCGTACAAACCTTGTCAACACAGACACGCACACGAAAGCACCTATTAACGTGGTCGCTGTTCACAGTCCTCTATTTTCTCGTATTTTTATTCGATCGTCGAACGCGCGGATGGAATCGCGAGAGAACTTCGCGCTCGCTTTTTCTTTCGCGTGCGTTGAAAAACAGAGTGGCTGTGAACAGCCTACGCCGTAGTGAGTGCTGATATTAAGAGTTTGACATCTTGATGGGGTGAGGAAGAATTCGAAGGTAATAACCCTACATGGCTTAAGTAAGGAGCTGATTCAAGCAGCACAGGCTTACTCTCAAGATGATTGTTCATTGACCGTCTACCAAACTTGTTAGAGTTACTAAATATATGTATCTACAACCTTCAAGAATGTGATTGGTCCTTTAATGTGCAGGTCCAGAAAATATCCATACTCCCTCCACAGAAGGGATTGGAATTTCCTGGGGGGTGGGGGGTTCTGTAAGACCAAAAAATTTAAAGAAATGTGAGAAGCTTTATTAGAATCTCCAGAGGGTTGGGGGGGGGNCTTGGAAAAAATCCCTTCCCTGGGGGAGGTATGGATATTTTCTGGAACTATACAATTAGAAACATGATTGGTGCATGAAAGGTGAAACTGTTTAATTAACAGTTGTCCTGATTACAACTTAGCATTTGCTTTCTGTTGAAATGATAATATTACAAAAGGCAAACATCAAGTTACCTGGTATACACTTGGCTGACCAGGTGGTGTTGGATATGTTGGTTGATTCGGAGGAAAAGGTTGCGAAGGAAACTGTCCAGGCACTCCTGTAGTGTTGGTAGGGTAGGGAGGCTGCTGTGTATTAGTAGGGTACCCAGGGGGTTGTTGTGTGCTAGTAGGGTACCCAGGGGGTTGCTGTGTATTACTAGGCAAAGGAGGGTAAGGTGGATCTCCACCTTCTTCTTCGCCGTCTCCACCAGCTGGTCCTGGTATGGGTGTTTCTCCATTCTTCAGGCACTTGTGGATGTATGCTGCTTTCCATTTGGAATATTTCTGGTGGGCTGCAGCCTTCAGAAGAGAAAGAAACTTATTTACTGCAAGATCTGGGTGAAAATATATTCAAAAGGGTACAATTTGCCCTAAAGAACACTCAAAACACCAGCTTCCTAAATTTGTCACTCACAGTAGTTCATTTACCTCAGCTAATAAATAAAGTGGTTCATTTAGCCTCCTGATGCTGCAGCAGTTGAACAGTTTCTTTACAACTGGCTGCCAACTTGTTCTCTGCATCACAACTAAACACTAAGATATGCACAGCAGGCCTGATGGACCACTAGGCCTTAACACATTGCTTCTCTTCAAAACCAGATGGCACATGTGGAACTTTAGTGTACTGACAACTATTGTCCTTGCTGGTTTATGTCACTTACCTCTTCTGACATTTCTCCAAATTGTGTCAGAACATCGTAAAGGAGACTAGCTGTGTAAAATGACTTCACAACATTTCTAAAACATAAAAGAACACTGATATTCTATATTTGCATTTGAAACCAGAATAACAATCAGAATGCTTAAACTTTGTGACCTATGGGAGGCGTGGTGACCTCATGGTTAGTGCACTCGTCCCCGGAGAGAGCGGTCCGGGTTCGAGCCCTGGCCAGGGACACTGTGTTGTGTTTTTGGGCAAGACACTTAACTCTCACAGTGCCTCTCTCCACCCAGGAGTATAAATGAGTACCAGCGAATTGTTGGGGAAACCTAACAAATTGCGGGGGAGTGACCTGCGATGGATTAGCATCCTGTCCAGGGGAAGTAGAAATACTTCTAGCCACTTCATGCTACAGAAACCGGGATAAGCTTCAGCAGCTATGAGTCAGTCAGCTCCAAGGCTTCACTTCTTTGTGACCTATGGAAATGTGCTGTGATCAGGTAACTACAAACTAATTCAACATACTTGTTAAAATTTGCATTACGATCTTCAGTATCAGCCCACAGAAAAAGCTGCTCTGCTTTTTCATCGATGTGAATCTGGGCAACAACATCATTAGTGACAGCCTCGTGTCCCTGGGTACTCAGGTCCTTCTTTGTCTGCAAAAATAAATTAAAGATTAACAGGGCTAGACTAAATAATTTATACTAGTCTTAAATCAAATGCTCAAAACTTCATGTCCAGCAACAGTTTGCAAAGTTCTGCAAGATAATATAATATTAGATGGACAAAAAGATTGTCAAAATTTTGCAAAACTTAAAGTGGAATGCATTAAGCTGTAATTTATTTCTATCAGCCCTCAATCAATATTTGCATGTTTCCCGAATGGAACTGAAATTCTCTTTTTTGAAAGCTACTGCCCAAAACAAAATTAGGGTACTCAGTCAGAAATGTATCCGAATTATCCTGTACCTAAAATGAAGATCTCAAAATTATGTCAAAGTCAGGAATATGTGTGAACAAGATGACATCATGGTTGAATTGCACATTAGAAGTCAAAGCAATGAGTCAAGCATATACTGAGAAGGGAAGGAAGAAGTGAAGATCCAAAATAACCTAGAGGAGAACTGCAGCAAAAAAGCTCACTTCTGATCACCTGTCATGAAGTGAGTGAGCAAAACATATTTTGGTTGCACACAGTCAAATATCTGGAATAACACTGGACTCAATTTCACAGTAACAAATAATGGTCTCTTGTATGTCTCCTTGATAAATCCCTTATAAAGATGTTATAATGACAAATGATTTCTAATTTTTGCTACAGACACACTTTTGTACTTCTATCTGGCCAGCACCTCCCCCCTGGCCCTTGCACCCCCACCCCAGGGGATAAAAGCTTAAATGAGATGAGGAGTGAGCATCTTTGAGAAAGTATATGTAAAGCAGCTTGCTGATGAGGAAAATGCAACAACCAAGGCCAGGTATCAACCTGGAACTCTTGATCTGGAGTGGAAAGCAGTAACCACAGTGTTATTATATGTAAGTTACTATGCCTCTACATGTAGGCATAACCACAATAGTAACCATACCTTCTCTAGTTGGTCCATAAGCTGCAGTAAGAATTGTTTGCTTTCCTTTCCTTTGCTATCAATTTTGATGCCTTTCTGTACTGCATGGAGGCGGCCTGAAGGTAGACGGACAACACTTCAAATTTTCAATGCAGCATTTATTCTAGGGAAGTGCTTTATTTTCAAGGGGAGGCTACTTCATGAGAGGCACTTATGAAAAAAACCATAATAATAATAATAATAATAATAATAATAATAATAATAATAATAAACTTTATTTGTTGAGGGTAACACAGAACAGCAATCACTGAAAAACCAGTCGCCCTCATATAAATATTTAAAGAATAAAAAAATGTTGTGTTAAAAATTAATAATATAGAAAGATTCTCAAATATGCAATGAAACTGAATTGAAGGAATTATAAAACGATCCTTATTGAACAAAACCTATCCAAGAATGCCTTTGTTATACAACAACAACCTACCAAAAGCTAAGTTTAAAACATCAATGTCACTGTTTCCTTATTGAGCATCTTCAAATGTGTTCCAGTACTCTTGAGTTCAAGTGCTTCAATTCAATTCTTTTATTTACACTACACTGGGCATTTTAAATACAATTCATAGGTAAATTAAACAAACATAGTAAAAAATTTAAGAAATATAGAGCTGCAAGGAAACACAATTTTTATGTGAGCAGTGGCCAGAGTGGCAAGAGCTTTCTGGTTGGCCACTGCCATGGTCAAGGAAATGGCAGCAAAAATAAAGAAAAAATATTGTTCAGCTAAACTACTTATAGATCTACATACACTACATACTACATTCAAAATGCTGTACTCATTTGAGGATAGCACTTATTAGTACCGGTATATCTTTTATAACTCCATGGTACAGTGCTTATTTGGAGATCACTTGAGACACTTTTTCAAGTACAATGGGATTTTACTGGGTACGATGGGATTTTACTGGGTAAAAAGCATTGAGACCAATCCAAGCTTTATAAGCTTTATATGTACTCTTTCAGGGATGAAGAAAGTACTGTCATCTCATAAGCAAGGTTTGTAAAATAATTGAGGGATTACTTTTTTCCACACACTGCAAGTAAGCAACCCTCTCAGAATGAGAAGTTTCAGCTAACTTCAGACTGTGGACCACAGCCAGAAAGGCAAACTTTTCGAGAAAATAAATTGATTACATGTATGTCATGGCCCTCAAATGAGCTGACTCCAATATTTGTGTACGTTCTACCCTACCCACTGGTATGTCAAACCGTTTCATGGCAACTGGACTAAGATGGCTCCTAAATCATTCTTAGTTTATAAAAAAAACCCTTGCCACATAACAGTGGGAAAATTTTTTTATTATACTTACAGTAATAGGCCACAACGGGATCTCGTTTATCGTATTCCAGGGCGGTTTTCAGGTATGGAGAGATAGCTTTCAGAGTTGCTGGAACTTGGGCCGCCATATTTGCTTCCTTTTCAGTTGCATTCGCTGTTCGCAGTTTTTCGCAATCGTGGGCTCAAATAAGCCCGTCAAGGTACTACGACGATCATTTTATGCAGTCATCTAACAGCCCTAACTTTCCTTATTTGGAAACAGGATGCTCTGTAACTATGGCAACTTTCGGAAAGCAAACATCTCGTCGCTTAGTACTCCTTGTGTTGCTCGAGTTTGTCGAACAGTGGATTTGTAGTTGACGAAACAAGAGGTTGTTTTGCAGCTTTCTTCAACTATGTACGTGAATGTGATGCAGCAAACGAAGGATTATCCATCGAGGAAGACTACTCGAAAGCAGGAGGAAGATGAAAAAGTAAGGATGTTGACAAAGATTTCAGTTCCATCTTTTACATGCGAACTCATCTTTGTTCGCAACGTACTGATTTTAGTTATCATTTTAATTCACGCAGGAAAAATGCACTATACTAATTCATTCCTCCATTGTCGCTCAACCGTTTACAACGAAGTCAAGGTTATCGAATGCAAAGGTGAGTCCAATATGTTTTTATTTCTTTTTCTTCGTACAACTTCGATAACAACTGGAAACTACGCTTATAAACTCGTGATCGAAAATCTTTGCATATTTCACCGTGGTTGCTAAGGTTGTTGATTATATTTCCTTCAGGTTCTTCCGGCTCCTTGTGCGGGAGCTTTTAAAGAAAGACCATCAGAAAGGACAAGTTTCAAAAAATGTTACGAGCGAGGTGATTTTCCTATCGCTTTGGAGCACGACACGAAAGGGAACAAAATTGCCTGGAAGGTGGAGATAGAGAGGCTCGACTACCATCATTACCTTCCGCTGTTCTTCGAAGGATTGTCTGAAACATCGCATCCCTACGGATTCTTCGCCCGACAAGGAGTCCACGACATGATGGAACACGGAGGAAGCAAAGTTCTTCCTGTTATCCCACAGCTCATAATCCCGGTGAAGAAAGCACTAAATACGCGAAACCACAAAGTGATCTGCACCACACTGAAGGCTCTGCAGCATCTTGTAATCGCTGGTGAGATGATTGGCGAAGCTCTTGTTCCATACTACCGGCAAATCTTGCCGATCTTAAACATCTTTAAGAATAAAAATATCAACTCCGGGGATGGAATCGATTACAGTCAACAGAAAAGAGAAAATGTCGGTGACTTGATACAAGAAACTCTCGAAGCCTTGGAGCGGCGTGGAGGCCCCGATGCTTTCATCAACATCAAATATATGGTGCCTACCTACGAATCTTGCATGTTAAATTAACTTTGAGTTTGAGAATATCGTGAACCTTGTGGATTATTTTACGAAAGATGATCAACCATATTTTAAATTTGAGTTTTAAAGGCTGGTATTGGCTGTAAATATATTTTTCTTCTAGATATTCTAAGCTGCACATTACAACTCAAACCGTAAAATGTTAAATGCATTTGTTCTTTTGGTATTTTTATGACCGTCCTTTCAACGAGTTTCTGCTGAATTAGTTATGCCTCTGATATATATATAAATCAAACAGACCTTGCTGTTTCAAACATACATTGTACATAACAAATAGTTTTATCGTTTTAATGTTGATTTCCAGAAAAATCTCTTGAAGGATTGTTCTCTTGGAGAAAATGTGAAACGAGGACCACTTCGAATTCATTTTGCTTGAGATGATCCAGGTGATCTGCAAATATTTTTTAAGTGGCAATACCCGTGATAATAGAACTGTTGGTAATCCAGTTAGACTGGTGTATATCTGGCAGGGTTGTTGTACTCAGTTTTTGTGAATTTCATCATAGGTATTGCATGGGCAGCTGGAAATATTTCCTTGATCATTGTATGGAATAAAATAATACAATCTAACTATACGGAAGGAACAGATTCTTCTTGTTTTGAAAAGTACATGCATCAACTGCAGTAGGGTTACCGTGCCTTTTCAATAATGAAATTCAAAATCTTGTTGATGATACCATTTTTTGCCCCCATCAATCATTATTACAATGACAATTGAAACAAACTTAAAAAAAAGAAACAAAAAAGTGGATCCAAATCTACCAGTCAGAACCCAGATA